TATACCCAGAAGTGGAATTGCTGGGTCATAAGGCAGTTCCATTTTTAATTTTTTGAGGTAACTCTATATCTCTTCCCACTGTGGCTGCCCCACTCTGCATTCCCATCAACAGTGCACCTTTTCTCCACATCCTCTCCAGCACTTGTTGATTTATTGATGATAGCTTTTCTGTAGGTGTGAGGTGATATCTCATTGTTGTTTTAATTTGCATTTCTCTGATGATTAGTGATGGTGAGCATTTTTTTTTTTATGTCTATTGGCCATTTGTACATTCTCTTTGGAGAAGTGTCTACTCAGGTTCTCTGCTTATTTTTTTTTCCTCCCTTGAGCCATAAAATGTTATTGACAGGTCAGAGGAAGAGCCAGGGATAAGGCTCCCTCCCTTCCAGAGCATCCCTCTGCTGGAAGCAGGAAGCCCAGGAGGCTGCGGGACTCAGGCAGCCTTGGTGATGGGCAGGTTGGTGAAGGCATCCTGGCCCTGAAACAGGCTGCGGTAGGTGGCAATCGCCTGCTCCAGCTATGTCTTGATGTCAAGAGCTGCTGTTACTCCAGGTTTTGATGCTTAGTGCCAGCGCAAATGTCACTCGGCTGGGCTTGGATACCCTGTTAAGCACCTGGATCTGTCAGCTGGGCTCTAAAGCAAACCTGGTTTCAGCCAGCATGCCTTCTAGGGTGGCTTTTATGCTGAGCTGAACTGAAGCTTGATCTCCAGACCGGGTTGGTGACCTCTGTCTTGCTAATCAGTTTTTTCTTTAAGAGAGAGAGGAAGTGAGAGAGAGAGAGAGAGAGAGAGAAACATCAGTTCGTTCATTCACTTGTTTATTCCCTGACCAGAGATTGAACTGCAACCTTGGTGTATCCGGACAATGCTCTAACCAACTGAGCTACCTGGCCAGGGCCGTCTTGCTAATGGGCTAAATTGGCAGTTACTCTGTGTGGCCAGCGACCTCCTGGTTCAGCTCCTTAGTCTGGCTGGTGAACCAGGTCAGCATCCTTCTAGTTCTTCTCATATCACTCAGGATTTAGCAGGTCAGCGCAGGAGCGGAACCCACCTCCACACTGACCTTGTCACCGTCTGGCCCTTTAGGGCACTGATTTCCTCCTCATGGTTCTTCAGGTAGGCCAGCTCTTCAATCTGCATCTCCAGATCTGCTCCCACCAGGGTCAGCTCCTCCAGCTCTTTGCACAGGCCATTCATGTCAGCTCCATGCTCATGCGTAGGGCCTGCTCTGCTTTGAACTGGGTTGGAGGTCACGCGCAGCCAGATGGCGCTGTTAATCTATAGGACAGTCTTGGAGTTCTCAATGGTGGCACCAAGAATCTTGTCTGGAAGATCATCAGCTGTCTGGTAGTATGGCTGTAGTCATGGGCACCCCGGGCACCTGCTTCTGGTGCTAGTCATGATCTTCACCTCCAGGTCACCTGTTGGCCTCTTCCAGAGCACATACCTTCTTCAGGTGTGAGGCACTGAGGTCTTGAGGTTCTGCATGGTCACTGTCTCATTGCCCACCAGAAGCCCATGGACCCAGTCAAGGTGCCCACATAGCCACCTCTGTAGCCCCCAGAGGAGAGTGAGGACACAAAGCAGACAGAGGACATCGACACACCATAGTCTTCAGAGTCCCTATGAATGATGGTGTGTGGTAGGCGGGTCTTGCTCTGAAGTGCAAGGTGCCTGCCCATGCCCTGGAAGGATGAGGAGGCCCACATTGGCAATGCAACTATAGGAAGTCATAGTGAAAGGGGATTCCGTGACACTCATCAGAGCAGTGGAGAGGCTATTGCCTCTCTCTATTTATTTTTAATTTGGGTTGGTTGTGTGTGTGTTTTTTGTTTGCTTTTGTTTTTAAAAATATATATGGCCCTAGTTGGTTTGGCTCAGTGGATAGGGTGTCAGCTTGTGGACTGAAGGGTCCCAGTTTTGATTCTGGTCAAGGACAGATGACCAGGTTGAGGGCTCAATCCTGATTAGGGGACATGTAGGAGGTAGCCAATCAATGATTCTCTCTCATCATTAATGTTTCTCTCTCCCTCTTCCTTCCTCTCTGCAATCAATTAAAATATTATATATATATATATATATATATATATATATATATATATATATATATTTTTTTTTTTTTTTTTTTTTTATTCCCTTAGCTGGTTTGGCTCGGTGGATAGAGCATCAGCCTGCGGACTGAAGAATCTCAGGTTTGATTCCAGTCAAGAACACATGCCTGGGTTGCAAGCTCCTCCCTAGCTTGTGCAGGATTGTAATTGTTAATTACATTACCGGTTGATCACTTTGAACCTGTGTATGTTTGTTTTTATGTTTTGTTAGTGTTCGAGGATGTTTGTTTTGCCTCTACCCTGACAGAGCTTAGCCTCCAAACCTGAGAATTGCATTGGGTCTTGGTTTAGGCTTTGTTGGGGCAGGGTTATGAAGGCCTTCCTCCAGCCATGGTTTTCACTGATAGCAGACAGCCTTCCTGATGTCTCAGCTTCATACCTGGGTCATTAACAAGGTGCTAAAGAGGCACTTTGATGTGTCTGGGTGGGCACTTCAGCATCCCCTAGCACTGCTCCACCTCTATTTCTGTGTTTGGTCTATCCTCCACCCCACTGGAGCCACTCTGGTAAGATTCTGGTAGTCTGATCCTGTGCATGGAGTCCTCTTAGCCTTGGGCTCTCACACCCCCTGCATTGCCCCATCCTTCACATCTAGCGATGCTGACCTTTGCCTCTCTGGCTCAGTGAGACCATCATGCTCTGCTTGGATTCTACCCCACTGTCCTGTGGTTAGGAAACTGCCCTGGGTAGAGAGTTTTGGTGATCATGAGGTACATCTCATGAGTTTTGCTTCCTTCAGAGTTACAGTTTTGTGCTGCTTGTTGTTTACTTCCTAAAAATGGCAGCCTCCCTGTTTTCCTCAGTCTAATGGTTGTTTGTGGAGGGAAGGTCTGTCTGCTACTGATTACTGTGCCAGAGCTGGAAGTTGTCCTGAGCTCTGGGCCTGCTCTGGATGGTTAACACCCAAATTCCCTGCTTGGCTGTTGTCTTAGGATCTCACTTAGGGATTCTTTTTGCTTCTCTTTTGAGTTTAATTCTCTGTTTTCTGAAGCCCACATTTTCTTAATTTTGATTGGTTTCTTTAGGTCGAGGAACCTTCAGTAGTTTCCTGATAAAGGGTGGTAGGAAGGTAAATTTTTAGAGGCCTACATGCCTGAAAATGCCTTTATTAAGCCATCACACTTGACTGATCGTTGATTGAGTAGAGAATTCGAGGTTGGAAATAATTTTCCCTCATAATTTCAGGCATTGTTTGATTGAATATCTAATACCATGTGAATTTGAAACCTGTTTTTTCTTTTTCTGTTTTTACTCTGGAAGTTTTTCTTTCCTATTGTTCTGGAATTCTCAGTCATGTGTTTTGTGTGGGTCTGTTTTCCTTCATTGTGTGTGTGCTTAGTGGACCTTTTCAATCAGTTCTGGGGCATTTTCTTGACGTATTTCTTTGACTTTACGTCTGCTGAACCTCGAACCTATTACTATCACATATTGTACCTCCTAGGCTGGTTCTACAATTTCCTTTTCTCTCTTCCATCTCTTTGTATTTTTTCTTTACTATGGAGGGATTTCTTCAACTTTTCTCTCCCAACTCTTACGTTGTATTACTCATTTATGTTATATAGTTAATTTTCAAGAGTTCTTTTTTTATTTCTGAATGCTCCCTCTACTTAAAGTGTTTATTGTTTCACAGATCTTTCCTATCTCTGAAACGCCTGATGATTGCTTTTGAGGTTTTTGCTTTTGCATAATTTCTGTTTCCTCCAAGTTGCTCTTTTCCATGTTTGTTCAGCCTCTGTCTGAGGTGTTATGTGCTCTCCTCTGGGCTGAGGAGATGAGTGTTGGTCAGTTGGATCCCAGGTTTGTGTAGTGTCAGTGTTTGCTTCACCTCATGCATGAGCCAGCAGAACAGCATGAGCTGTGGGGTCTGGAGCCTGGTTTCCTTGTAGCCTCTTAGAGCTGAAGAGTAAAGAGGAATCCTCGAGAATGGGGGATTTTATGTGGCCAGAGGTTAACTCTCAGACTTTTCTTGGTGGGGCCTAGGGAAAAGGTGGGCACCTCCATAATGAGAGGGTCTTTATCCCTGCCCCCAGGAATTGTCTGAGATCTCTGAGTTCTGTCCCACTCCGGACAGACGAGAGGGCCTCTGACACCCTGAGAAGTAGAGAGAGAGGCACTGACGGTACTTGCGCCAGCAAAGGAGGATGGATGGACCTGCAGCCCGGTGTGGACCAAAGGCTTGTGTTCATCCTCAGAGAGCCCCGAGAACCTGTGATTTCAGGAGTGGAGAAGGCAATCCCTGAGCTGAGAGCCCTGGTATCTGTCCACAGTCTCTCTCCACCCAGAGGGGGAGGCCTCCTTGTCTGGGCACAGTGTAGGGCCCAGCTGCCCTGCTCTGTCTTGCGTCTATCTTGCCAGACTGCTGCATCTATAGCAAACTAGGGAAGCTCCTGCCACACACAGGCACCTCTCCTGCGTGGCCAGTGCCCAGGAGGGCTGGGTATTGGGCTCTAATGAGCGTTGTTAAGTGAAGACATGGCAGGAAAAGATGCCAAGGATTTTGCTTTTGGTCAAGATGGTTCAGTTGCTGGTAAAGGCCCCCGGACGGGCTCTGCCCACTGCTTCCCCTAAGCCCTCATTGGCACAGCCCAGGCCTCCCTTACCACAAGTAGTGAGCATATTCCTGGGTATTCCTGTGTCAGATAGAGAACCCTAGTTCTGGGGGAGCCTTACACAGTGCAGGGCACTGAGTTGCTTTCTAACTGCTCAGAAAGGTTTCTCTCTCTCCCTCCCTCCCTCCCTCTCTCCCTTCCTCCCTTTTAGACCTTCTGTGTAATTCCAGTCAAGGCTGGTGGCCTACCAATGGAACCGGTGCTTTTGGCATGGGTGTGTGGGGTTGCCCTCCTGTCCCGGCCATGCCATCGGTTCATGGGATGCTCCTGTGTCTTTAGCTGCAGATCTGGGACACTGCCGGCCAGGAGCGCTTCCGCACCATCACCCAGAGCTACTACCGCAGCGCTAACGGGGCCATTCTTGCTTACGACATCACCAAGAGGAGCTCCTTTCTGTCAGTGCCTCATTGGATCGAGGACGTGAGGAAGTACGCTGGCTCCAATATCGTGCAGCTGCTGATCGGTGAGCTGGGAGGGATGACGTCGGGGCTGGCAGAGTACCTTGGGGCCACAGATCCCGTCTGTCTCAGTTTCTCCTTTAAAAAATTTTTTTTTATTGAGTTCAGAGAGAAAGGGAAGGGAGAGGGAGGGATAGAAACATCAATGGTGAGAAAGAATCGTTGATTGGCTGCCTTCTGCACAACCCCCTATGCGGGATCAAGCCTGCAACCCAGCACGTGCCCTAACTGGAATCTAACCTTGACTTCGTGGTTCATAAGTCAGTGCTCAACCATTGAGCCACACTGGCTGGGATCTCTCTCTCTCTCTCTCTCTCTCTCTCTCTCTCTCTCTCTTTAATCCTCACCCAAGGGTATTTTTCCATTGATCTTTTGGAGAGAGGGAAGTACAGACCGAAACATCAATGTGAGAGAAACACATCGATTAGTTGCTTCCTGCATGTGCCCTGACCAGGGCCCAAGCTGGGAAGGAGCCTGCAACCAAGGCATGTCCTTAACTGGAATCGAACCCAGGACTCTTTTGTCTGCAGACCAACACTATCCACTGAGCCAAACCGGCTAAGGCTTCTCTTTCCTTTTTAAACAAAAGCAAGCCGGAGCACAGAGAGGGGCTGCACTTATCCAGGCAGGAATGGAGCCAGAACTTGACATTCTGATTCTGCTAGTCACTTGTAAAGTTATATTTAAAATTGGAATTGGGAAAGAAAGGAAGCTAAGATTTGATTTGCAGTATGCTCTATCTGCACAGTGGTTATACTGGTTAAGCCTTCACACGTGTCTTTGGATTTAATTCCCATTATCTGGCTACTCCTTATTTGACAGGGCGTGGGCATGAGGCTCAGAAGTGAAATAATTTCTCAGTTCACACAGTCTGTGAGCATGCACACGTGAAGTTTGAGTTTAGTTCTACTAACCGTAATTCAGCAGAGTAGGGCTGCTCAAATATTCCCGTGCCTGCAAAGCCGTGAAGCGCAGATGCTGGTACCACTTCCAGAGCATTCAGTTCTGGAGGTCTGGATGAGGCCCAGGAATGTGCATTTCTAATAGGTTCCCAGGTGACATCTGGGACATACCTGTTGCCGGCTCAGGGCCCCACTTTTGAGAACTATGTTGCAGAGATGCAGATACCTCCATTTTCTCTCCTACGTAAACTTCCCAGACAGGGCTCAAGCAGCTTTGGACCACCTGTGTGACCCTGGGTCCTCACTCAGCAGTCAGACGGGTTTTTCTAAGATGAGGCTGTAGGTGGGCCCTGGATGTCGCTCCGGCTGGGGAGAGGTGGCTTGTGCCCACAGAGCCTGCCTGCCTGGACGGTGAGAAGGGCCAGCAGAACTCGTCTGCCTGGGCAGTAACGGAGCTCTCCCTACCCAGCCTTCCACGTCCCTCTTATCCAGGACATTAGAAATAAGACATCTTATTGTTGCCGAGACCGGTTTGGCTCAGCGGTAGAGTGTCGGTCTGCGGACTGAAAGGTCCCAGGTTCGATTCCGGTCAGGGGCATGTACGTTGGTTGCAGGCACATCCCCGGTAGAGGGTGTGCAGGAGGCAGCTGGTCGATGATTCTCATCGACGTTTCTGGCTCTCTATCTCTCTCCCTTCCTGTCTGTAAAAAATCAATAAAATATATTAAAAAAAAAAAAAGACATCTTATTGTTGAGTACTTTACACAAACACAGAAATAACCTAGTATAACGACCTTCGATACCCATCACCCAACTTCAGCAACTCCTCCTTCACCCAACTTCACCTCCACCTGCGTCTCCTCCCTCCCTTGTATTATTTTTCAAGCAATTCCTAAACACTTAAAAATATATGACAACAGTACCATTTTCCTATCTAAAACTGTTGACATTTCCTGAGTAAAATCAAATAGCTGACCTGTGTTCAGATTTATAATTGCTCATAAACAACATATGCTTTTTTCTTTTTGAAATTAGGATCAGTTTCACACATTGAAATTGGTTGCTATATCATTTAAGGTTACCAAAGAAATTTCAGATATTTATAGACATTTATCTTTTTTTTTTTTTTTTTTTTTTTTTGTCCTCCGTATAATCACATTATAAAGGTCAACCTCTTAAAAATTTGAAAAATTGGGTCGAGGAGTAGGTTACCAGATGGTTTAGAATGTAATGAGACATCTCTCACCCGCAGGAGAAGCCAAAGTTGCTCTCTCAGGTAAAGTGGTAGTCTGTGTGCTCAGTAGTAGAAAAATAGGAGAGAATAAATAATAAGCATAATAACAGAATTTTAGCAAAAAAAAAACAAACCCAAACAAACAAAAAACCAACCAAACCCCAAAACACCTAAAAAACAACAACACACAAAAAAGAGCAGTGCCAGATTCTTTAATTTACACATTTATGGAGTACCTGCCAGATGCCAGTTGTTTTCATATTTGTTGTATCATTTAGTCCCTGCTCTGCTGGGGTGGCATCATTGATGGGGAAATTGAAGCTTCCTCAGTGATAGGAAGCTGAAGTTTCTACCCAGATTCTTCTAGCTTTAAAGTATGGTATTCGTTTACCTAAATGTTACTGCTTCTGTTTCTTATAAAGAGTCAAAATATACAATCCCCTGGCAAAGGTTAAAAACAAAGAGTGGGGTGGACTGAAGGATAGGATACCAGCTTTAAAATGAAAGTTTGGTGGTTATTTTAAAGATCACCGTGCACAACTAGTAGTTGTCAGAGGGCATCGGGTGTGATTGGGCTTGTTGGTTTGGCCCTGCCAGCTAGGACAGGGCTTCCCGGCACCAGCCGACCTCACCACGCGGCTCCTGGCTTTCCCTGCAGGGAACAAGTCGGACCTTGGCGAACTCCGGGAGGTCCCTCTGGCCGAAGCACAGAGCCTGGTGGAGCACTATGACATCCTGTGTGCCATTGAGACGTCTGCCAAGGACTCGAGCAACGTGGAGGAGGCCTTCGTGAGGATGGCCACAGAGCTGGTCATGAGGCACGGGGGCCCTCTGCTCAGTGAGAAGAGCACCGACCACATCCAGCTGGATAGCAAGGACATTGGAGAAAGCTGGGGCTGCGGGTGCTGACGGGGGTGCAGGGCAGGCAGGCAGGGGCCTCCCTTCTCCTTGCTCTGGTCTGCCACGCCCAGCCCTCCAGAGCTGGCCCTCTGGGGCACAGTGATTCTAGAGCAGCTGGATAAAGCCCTGGAATCGCTCATCCCACGCCTGGATGCTTGATGGGAAAGCTCCCCGAGGAAAGAAGAAGCAGGTTGTGGGCCCGCCCTACAGTCGGTGGCTGTGCCCTTCATGCTCTTACATTTCAGGACCGGCCTGAGTTCACAGTGCGGACCACAACTGGAGAGGGGCCTGGGCTGTGCCTCCCCTGCTTCGTACAAACGAGTTCTGACCATTTCACACCTGTGTCTGCGGCAGCCGTAGCAGCAGGTGGCTGCCTCCCAGGACTGTGACTGGGCACAGGTCCTCCCAGGGCCTCCATAGGTAGCTGCGGAGAGCAGAGCAACCAGCCCAATAGGTGGTTTCTGAGCACAGCCCAGGGGAACCCTCACTCCCTCCGGGCAGGAGCCTTCTTCACTGCCAGCTCTAAGCTCACAGGCACCATGGGGCCCAACTTGCTGCCTTAGCAAGACCTTCTAAGTTTCCATGTAGCTTCTAGTTTTCATTCTCAAAAGTGTAGGGTCATGGCCCACAGCCGAGCAGGGACTGTCTGCTGGCTTGGGGCCCAAAGTTTTGTCACTCAGGTTGCAAAAATAGCTCATTCTTCAGTTCTGGGGTCTCAGAAGCTTGGGGGCTGGGGAATGAGATAGGAATGTGGGCATTTAAGGGAAAAGTAAAATCTTGCATCCTGGAGGCTCAGGTCTGAGAAATCTTTCCTGCCACATTTAGAGCACCAGCTCTCCGCCTCTCCCAGTCTAAGTCTGGGCCCGGCATTTCACCCCCTCGTCCTCCCCCCACCCCCCAGCCCAAGTCCCCCTGCCCTCAGTCAGCTCCTCATGCACAGGTGCTGAGGTAAGAAGGCAGGGTGGAGCTGAGGTCACTGGGGTCTTTCGAAGCAGACGCTGGTGTAGCTCAGAGGATCCCAGGGGCTAGGCTTAGATGATCTTCCTACAGCAGCCCCAGTTCTCCCGTGTCAGCCTCATGCAGCCCTCTGGCCTCAGCGTGGGGCCTCAGGAAATGAACTGGAGGCCGCATCTGGAGAGGCAGCCCAGAGCCTGTCAGGCCCGCAGCTCCCCGGGCTCAGCCCTGGTCCCCAAGGCAGGCCGTGGCGCTCCAGCTGGCTCCCCTGGCCTTCGACTCTAAGCACCTCAGTATGTGCTGGCCCCTCTGCTGGGCAGGCCTGGCTGCAGAGCAAGAAGCAGAACTTTGCAGCAGTCAGATGAGTCCGGGTTGGACATAGGTGGCCGAGACAGACCTGAGGCTGGGGGCTCCCCTTCAAGCAGGGAGGTGGCTGTGGAACGGCTGAGCCTGGTTCTGGCGCTGAAGGATGTTAGCCGATTGGGCCAGGAGCTGCTGAGCAGGGTTTGCACTTGGGGGAATCAGCCTGTTTTTGGCTGGAGTGGGGTGGGGTGCAAGAAGGCCCACCATTGCAGTGTCTGGGCTCCACCTGCAGAGTAGGAAGTGCCTGTCACTGAGGGGTTCCCTGAAGAGGGTTCCATTAAGATCAAGGGCAAAGGCCCTCCAGCCCCATGACCTCTCTGTAGGGGCTGGTATTGGGCAGAGCTGGGCGTTGAATGTCTAGACAATGTCTCACGAAGCCCTTCCTGCTGTGTTTGGGGTCTTGGGGCAGAGGCATGGGCCTGTGTCCCTATGGACTCGCAGTCCCAGTTCCAGCCGAGAGCACAGAGACTCAGTGCATAGGGTTAGGAAAAGGGAGGTCCTTGTACCCCTCAGATGGCTGTCCTGGGCGCGTAGGCACAGGAACAGGGAGCTGGCAGGTGACAGGCTCATGTGCCACCACGATCCCGTCCTTGGGGCAGGAGGCCTGACGCCCTACAAAGGCTTGGCTTAGAAGGGGAAGGAAGAGCAATCTAGCCTGGGACCAGGGAGGCTTCTCACTGGCCACCTCTTGGTTTCTAGAAACCAAGGAAACAGCTCTGTTTCCTCCGCTCTCACCATCCGAGATGTCCGAAACACTGGCCTCACATCCTCTCACCTGGACTTCACCGACCTTGGCTCCTGGGCTTCTAGTCTCGCTGCCCCCACCACCTCCTGCGGCCATCAGTGTCCGCCGTGAAAGGTCCCTTCTGGTCCTGCCACTCCCCCCAACACCTTTCAAGGGGCCCTGGGTACCTGGAGTGCTGTCCACACGTGACCCAGAAGCCCAAGGCCTTCACGGCTCACCCTGGCTTCGCTCCAACACCTGCCTGTGCCCCAGGAGCATCCTGCCCCCTCCACTTACCTCCGGCCCCACCTCCACTTCCCTGCCCTTTTGTTCACATCACTTATAATCCCAGAAGTGACCGAGTGGACACCTCTGAGAACTGGCCCCACCCCAGGCTAATCTGTTCATAGTTCTCTCCAGCAAGGAGTTCTTCCCTCTGCCTCTGCCTGGAGGTTCCTCCACTCCTCCTGGGCGGAAGCCACTTCCTTACGCTCCCAGAGAGATGCCCGCAGCCTCGGGCACAAAGGCTAGTGCTCAGGGCCCGGCTGAGGGCGAGGCATGGACTGCATGCCCTCGGGGTCCCTGCTCTGTATGCCCGTCAGGCTGGGGCCTCTTTCCGGGCCTTAGTCCCCTGTCAGGTGGAGTAGGAAAATGAGGGAAGTAGATGAGACAGCAAATAAGACTTGTTTCTGTTTCCCAGCAGCCTCTGGAGCAAGAGAACACTTTAATCTCTATTTAATTTTATTTTATTAGTTTATTTATTTTACTAGTAGAGAGGAAATCGAACCTGCAATTCTCCTGTGCATGGGATGATGCTCCACCCAACTGAGCCACACCAGCCAGGCCCGCCCTTTGATTATAAATCACCTGAGAGCCGGAGTAGGTGGGGAGAGGGGCCAGGGTGTGGGAGAGGGAGCAGTGTCCTGGCAGCCAGGCCCGGAGGAGGGCAGTGGTCTGGGGGAGGCAGATGTGACATGGGCTGAGGGAGAACAAGAGTGAAGTTGATATAGTTATGGGAGGACTGGGGTGGGCAAGAGACACATGTGACCCTGACTCCTAAGCCAGAGAGTGGTCCCCTGTCCTCGGGGGTGGGGATGAGGTAGGGGTGTGGACTGACCCCAAAGGCACAAGCCCCAGCAGACACGGAGCTGGAGGAAGCTCCTAATTCATATTGAATTCAGAGGAGGGCTGCCGGGAGGGGGGGGGGGGCGGCTCGTAGGGACGCTCTGAGCCCCACTGTTCTGGACTGTTCGGGGCAGAGAGTGCCTTAGCCAGCCCAAGGATGCCATTTACCTTGGGAATCTATGCTATCTGTTTATAAGTATATAAGCCTTTATGTCACATCTATTTTTAAAAACATGGGAAGTTGCCTTTATGGAAACTTAACAGAGCCAGAGTGTACACATTCCTAAGCCATTAAACAGTTTTCTCTAATGAGCCAGTGGCACCAAGACTGGTTCTCTTACCTTTGAGCTCAGAGCCAGCCCGGGGGGCTGTATCCCCACAGAGGGTCCCACCTGCCTACCTGCCCTCCCTCCCCTGCTCGTCTCCGGGCCTGGAGTTGGTGGATGAGCCTATACGTTGCCCACTGCCCGATGGTTAAGATCTCTCTGCCCCAGACGAGTGTGGGATCCCTGGGCAGAGAAAGTGCCAGCTGACCGAGGAGCGGGAAGGAGTTTGGGTCCCATCTCTGCCAGGGACACTCATGTGACCTCGGGTAAGTCCCTGTGCCTTTTGGACCCGGTTCCTCCCGTTGTGTTTGTGTGGGGAGGTCGGTTGGGGATATTGGTGGCTGCCCAGAGCACGAGGCATTCCCCACACTTCTTCAAATGTCTCTTTTTTCAGATGAGCCAACAGACTCGGGTGGGGAGTCCCATGCCTGCCAAAGCCTTGCAGCCACTGGAAGTTTAGCTTTTATTCCAAGTCAAATCTAAGAACCCCATGAGGGCCAGACTGTTCTTGTTCACTGCTATGTTCCCAGGCAGCGCCGAGGACGGGCTGGGCAGCTAGGTGCTGAGAGAACTGCTGAGGGCCTGAACTGGCTCCGCGCACCAGGAATCCTGTGAGCCCAGAGTCCACCACGACCATGGCCTATGCTCCTGGCTGCTCACCAAGGCCTCTGCTGAAGGGGGGAGGTGGAGAGGGCATGGCATGGCTGCTCATGGCAGCCAGGTGGCACGCATCCCCCTGCCAGGCCTTGTTCTAGACACACCGACATCATGGGCTCAGACCAACCTCCATTCCAAGTCCACACCTGCCCTGACTAGTTGCATGCACTTGGGCAAGTCATTTCTCACTCGGGGCCTCAGTTTCCAAGGACATAGGATACTTTCATTCCTGTCCTGCCTGCATCCGGGATGCCCTGAGGAGATCCTGGGCTGGGAGGGACTCTGAATGGAAGGATGGAGCAGGGCCTCCTGTCCTGTCTGTCCCGGGAGGCAAACGGCTGCTGAGTTCCGCTGACTGAGGGAGGGAGGCCCAGAGGCCTGGGAATCCCAGGTGGGCCACACTCCACCTTTTCCAGGGAGAAGAAACACCATGGTCTGCATTTCCTGCTTCAGTGAATACAAGGCAGCCCAAGCCCAATGTGCCCCTGGAAAGAAAAATCCATGTCTGATCAGGCACTGCACACCCATCCCTGAGGCTCCGATGTGGGCCAAGTCCTTCCTTTTCTCTGCCCAGAGCAGGGACTACTCAGACCCCGGGTCAAACTCGCAGTCCAGTCCTGGACTTTAAGGCAGGGAGACCGAGGCCAGGGACCCAGAGGGGCTTGTTCAAAACTTCCACTGAATGTGCACCTGATCCCGCCCGGGCTGGGTGCTGGGTCCCAGAACTGAATCTGCCCCTGCTCTACCTCAGCCCCTCCCTGCACCCTGCTCCCTGCACACATCTGCCCAGCAGCTGGGCTGGGGACAGGGGCCGCCAGCACTTCTTTCAGAGAAGCCAGGATGCAGGGTGCCCTGCCCCA